TTTTTTTCCCTTTATCAACTTTTTCGTTGACATATAATCACAATTTTCTTAATAAAAGTTTCTTTTTGCCCTCTAAAAACTTTTCAGGCTTCACCACTGATCTCAATGTGTTTAGACATATTTTTATTCAAAATAGCATTGTTTTGATAATTTTTCTTCAACAAACAAGAGACCTACTAATAAGAAAATGACATAAGCACCCTCATTTATGCATATTGAACTCTGGAAAATAACTATACAATCTTTCTGTTTAAATTTTAGTAAACTTGATTTCTAATTTTGGGTATTCAAATTTAATGGTCCACATATTTGTTCTTTTTAAAATGTTATTTATTGTATTTATTCATATTATATTTTTATTTTAAAAAAATAATTACAACATATATTAATTAAGAAGACTTAGGGTTTGTTTAAAATGATTTTGGTTTTAAGTTTTGAGTTTTTAATTTTTATATATTTGGTAACCATTACCATATTTAGAAATTAAAATTTATTATTAAAAATCTTACTTACTAAATTTGAGAAGGATCCTACTCTTACACAAGTTTTACAAGTTACACTTATATAAAATCTCAACTTTTATCTCTTTATTTTCAATTTTTGAGATTTATCACAATTTTTTAAATAACAAATAATTATCTTTAATAAATGTGATAAAATCTCAACGATTGAATTTAGAAAGATAAATAGTTGAGATTTTGTATAGGTGTGGTATATAAGGCTTATGTGTAAGTGAATCCTTATTCTGTGTTTAATTTAAACATAGCACTAGTTATTAAATTTATAAAAAAATAAAATAAGAAACTCAAAACAATAACCATATTGAACGTGAATTTATTTTACTAGGGTCCTGTTTGGTATAGCGGTTTTGGGGTAACGGTTAGCGGTTTTACCTAAACCGCTAAATATAGGTGTTTGGTAATTTTATATATTTCGAAACCGCTACAACTAAAGTGTTTGGTAAAATTTTTATTTAGCGGTTTGAGACTAGCGGATAGCGGTTATGGTCTAAATCGCTAGTGGATTGAAAAAGCTAGTTTATGTAACTTTTTGTACCAAACCGCTAGTGGATTAGAATTTTTTAATTTTATTAACAAATTTATCCATTTTAATTTTTTAATTTGTGGTCACATTTTTTAATTAACAATTATCTAATAAATTTCAATTTTATTTTTTTATCTTTAATAACATTAAGT